GCTCCCCTGTTAGCATTGTATCAGGGTCCCAGGAAACCTCTTACAATCCCGATGGTGAGACCGATCGGTCTCACTCTCTGGGCCCCACACGGTAGAAGCACTGGTACAGCTCACAGGGCCACACACGCACTGCTGGTCTGGCATCCAAGATGCCCAAGCAGCTGGCACCAGATTGTAAGTCAGCTTACTCACCAAGCCCACAGTCCAGAGCCGAGGTAACCACTCTTCCCATGTGGTATTGTTGGGGGTTAACCACTGGCTTACCCAGTGGAGCATTACACCCAATTATAGGGCTGTTGAACCTTTCTTTCTAAGTAAAAGCCCCAAATAAAAAACAATGCCCGGGACCAGCTATTTTCACTCAAAGCAGCTGCACGTATTTTACCTCTTCTCACTGCAGGGGACGGGAATCTGCAGCTTACTACTAATGCTGATTATTCCTGGTAATGGTAGCTTGGGGGGTTCTGGAAACTAAGTCAAAACCAGAGGCTCTTGGCCATGTTCTTCCATCTGTGGAATGGAACCCTCTGGGGACAAGCAGAAATGGCTGTCCCTATTGTGTCTGGGTTGGTTTGTGCTCTGAGCCCAAACGCCGACAGAGACCGCTGGCTTCTTCAGTCCCAACCCCAAGTTCTCAGGAAATGGACTGGGGTTGTCCCGGGGCAGGTCAAGGGCTGACTGTGGGGGAGCAAGCAGGTCTTGGGAAAGGTGCCCCTTCTGTGGTTCTGGCCACATGGCTCAGGCTGTAGCATCATTGACCGGGGCTGTTATTTCTGTAAGGTTTAGGGCTTCTTCCATCCTTGCTGCACACTGTAATAATATTTGGGGATCTTAATCTATGGTAAAACGTTGTCATTAACTCAGCTCATCATTATGGGGATTTAGAAATGCAAGGTTAAATGCTGCCCCCAATGCGAAACAACTCCATAAATGTAGAGAGTGCTTTTAACGGATTGCTTCTAAGGAAGATGTTAAACTACTCACTGACCCGCCCATTAGGAATCTGGCCGAGGCACATACACTAACCAGAAACCTCACATTAGGGCCGCGGATACAGTGGCTGCTCCCCAGGGTGGGTTAGTTTCCAAGGAGGCTCATACAATGAAAGAAAAGAGAATGCCGGTGACGGTGCAGGCGGAAGGCCTGTCTGGAGTGGACGATGTGAGAGATGGAGCTATGATGAAATACAGGTAAGTGTTTCAAAGTTCAAAGTGGAAATGTTATGGTCAGTGCCTGGTCCTCAGAAAAAAAAAGCACTGTCTATCAAAAGAGCAGTGAGTCTGAGGTCTCCTCCTCCTCCTCCCCCTCCTTCTTTCTCCCTCCCCCTCCTCCTTCCTTCTTCTCCCCTTCCTCATCCTTCCCCCTCCTCTATCCCCCTTTCCCCCTTCCTCCTCCTTCTTAATAACCTTTTTATTTTAGAATCATTCTAGATTACAGAGACATTGCTAAAGTGGCAGAGTTTTCACCTACCCTTCACCCCTCACTCACATTTTATTTGCCACGGCTCATCCATCACAGCTAAGAAACCAACACGAACTCAACTCCACAGTTTGTTTCCCTAGCTTTTTCCTCGCACCCTTTTTCTGTTCTGGGTTCCCATCCATGTTACTGCCTCGTCCCCTTAGCGCCTCTTCTGATCTGTGAGAGTTTCCCCGACTTTGCTTGTTTTTGAGGCTTTATACCACTTTGAAGGAATACGGGTTAGGCGTTGTGTAGAATGTGCTCAGTTTGGGTCTGTCTGAGGTTTTTCTCATGGCTAGATGGGGCTTGGGATTCGGGAGAGGGAGACCTCCTGGTGAAGTGCCAGTCTCCTCATGTCTTATCAAGAGTGTGTGCCGTCAGCAGGACCTGTCGCTGCCGCAGTCAGCCCTGGCCACCTGGCTGAGCCGCTGGTGGCCAGGGCTCCCCACCATGAAGGCACTCTTCCCCCTCCCACGCGGTCCTCTCCTTGGACGTGCTACTGTGGTCAGCCCACACTTCTGGATGGGGACGTGTAGCTACGCCTCACCTCCCTGGGAGGAGAGCATCTACATAAATTAGTTGAAATTCTGTGCAGGAGAGCCGTCCCTGTGTGTTTATTTGTATCAATATTGGTTCGTGGGTATTTATTGGAGACTGTGGGTCATCATTCAATACTACACTATTTGTTCTGTTGCTCATGCTGTTCCAGCTCTGCCCATGGGGAACGCTTGCTGCTGGGCACCGTGTTCCTTGACCTATTATTCCAGGCTGATCACCTCGTCTATTTCCAGCCCTGGTCCTAGAATGAGCAGTGTCTCCAAGGAGCCCTGGTTCCTTTTGTTACGGAATAAATAGAAAAACTGAGATCTGGGCCCTGAGTGGGTGGTTCTATTTTGCTGGCTGCTTCCTAATGGGATGGTATTGACAGCAAGCTCTGCAGCAGAGAACCCACCCCTGCAGCTGCTCCGGGCAACAAATCATGTTCATTGTCAGTAGTTTATTAGGTTTGTGTTCTGGTTTGGAAAAGTCAATGTCATGAGGCTCTGCAAATATTTGAGGAACACAGCATGCCATGGTCAGCTGGGGAGGGCATGTTCTAAGTCAATACTCCCCTGGGCGAACTCATTAGAATTTCGCTTGAAATAGTCTTTGTTAGGTTAACTTCTAGGACTTCTTGTTTTCTGCAACAGACTGGTTACATTCGGTCTGGTCATTGGGTTAGGGCTCAGTCCTCTTCTTAGGGAAAGCTCACCTGCAGACAGGTACTGCAGCTTTCAACTGGCACCATACCTATTTGTATGCTGCATCTACTTCTTCCTGGCCAGTGCAAGAAATAGCACTTCTTGAGCAACTTCCTGGAAGGCAAGGAGTGTTTTCATACTGGAAGCATGGCAAAGGCAAAGGTTGACGTCAGACACCCCAGAAAGAGACGGAAAGGAAGCTTCAATACAATACCTGTGGCATTCGTTCCCTTTAAGCAATTACCTGTGATTGCTCGAGCCCCAGACCAGCCTGACAGCCCTCATTACGCTGGTCTAGAAGACCGAGCCTAGGCTCTGGGTGTGTGTGTGGCTGAAAACTGTGCAGAGGCACCTCTGCGGCTTGTGGCCTTATAGGGACATCTGGGGCATGCTCAGATAGGTACCAGAGAGAGAACAGGGTGGTTTAGTTGTGCCAAGTTAAATCAAACTGTGGAACTTTAGAAATGGAATATCAACACCACCTTGTGAGAAGTTCTATTAGGGATCTATTAGGGATCTATCAAAACTTACCATTTTGTTTTCACGGAGCCAGAACTGTGGTCACCGGCCTGGGTTACTGGATATCTGTGTAAATGTCTCAAGTGATTTGGTTGTGCCCACTATTGAATTGGACTCCCTCCCCCAAAGGTTGCTGATATGCCCTCCGATGGTGCAAGAAGCCTCCAGGCGAACATATCCAGGCAGAGAATCCAGAGAGGAAATCACCTGGCTTTGCCATGGATGCCTGCTTGCACTGTCCTCTCTGACATGCAATGACCCCCTCCATTCCCCTTGGTTTGTCGTAACCTAAAAGCCACTTTACAGTGATTTTGCGAAGCATAGAGAGGTTGCAACGTGAGACATCATCTCACATTCAGGTAATCACTGGCTGCATAGTGCATGCACCATTACAGCGAGTGTCCCAGAAGCTCTCATTCTCAGCAGAGCATGGCCTAGGGGGTCTCACTTCAGCCACTGAGGAAACACCAGAAGGAGTCACCCTCTGCAGGTCCCGAGGCACAAATCAAGTCCAGACTTGGGGGGAGGGGGCTGCCACTTCTCTTGATCTTTACAGCTCTGCTGCTGTCGAAAATATTTGTCAGGGAAGTGCATTGTGTCCCCCTGCTGTGCTCAGTGTCATTTTGCAGTTGGGACATGAAATCGCCACCATCCCTGGGCTGCAGGTGTGAGCAGCACCACACAGATTCATACTGGCAGCTTTGCCGCAAGAAAAACGATGACGAGGCCACTCGTGCGGGCCACTAGGTAACAAAGCCCCTGAGCTCCGAGAGGCTGGGTCTGAGGAAGCGCATTTCCCTTCGTGTCGGAGACGGGCTGTAAGCTGGCAGCACGCAACAGGGTTAAACGAGAGTGGGTCTGTTGTTTTTGAAAACCAGTGGGATACTCTTCCCAGGTGCTGAAAATACATGACAGAATGAAGGCTCCGCTGCATTTATAAAGTGAAATGTATGATCGATCCCCCTTGCTGCCCCCCGGTATTTCTTTTAAAATATCTCACCATGACATAGAAAATACGACCAGTCTAATTCCATGAAACTGCCTTTACCCAAAGCCTAAAGCGTTATAATCTAAAATTTCAGTGTTCAGTTCTTATCCAACTACAGTTCATTTTAATAATGCATTCGCTTTTGTTTTAGAGGATAATCACTCACGTCTTAGAAAGGGAGGAAATTATGAGATGGAACTGGCATGATTTTAGGTCCACGTTCCCTTGTTGTTTAAGGTTCCTTTTTCTCAAGACGGTACCATCAGGCCGCTGCTTCCCCCTCTGTTCTCCGAAGTTCCGACTTCATAGCTGTTGTCTCTCCTTCTCTGAACCCGACCTTGCGGTTTCCCAGGCCTACAACTAACTGCGCATTACTAGTTCCTTTCCGTTAGCTGCACGATTCCACGTGGCTCTGCATACGTCCAGACACTTTCAGGACACTTTTTTATAGTTTGGGGAAAGCTGTAAAAATTACCTTGATAAGCATTTCACCTTGAACGGACTGAGATGCTTAAGGGTCTAGTTCCGCCTTCCGTGAGAGCACACTGGTCCCCTCCACTGGCCTGGTTACCCTCTTGGACGCATCCACACCTGCCCCATGACCACCCGGGTCCCGTGGGGCAGATGTGGCGGGGGGCCATGCCTGTGTCAGCAGGTGAGAACAAAGCAGCTCGAGGACCGGTCCGCCAGCGCCCTCTCTCTGCATATCCCGGGATAGCAGAATGCCTGGCATCCTTATGTCACTCGTTCATGCCCTTTCCTCACCGCCTGGCTGATTGTCTCTCCCCCAGCTCTGCTTTGTGATGTTCTGGACCCCCAACGTCTCCGAGAAAATCCTGATAGACATCATTGGTGTGGACTTCGCCTTCGCAGAACTCTGCGTCGTTCCTTTGCGAATCTTCTCCTTCTTCCCGATTCCAGGTAAAGAAAAACGGAACAACAGAAACATTCCTACTTACCCTTATGCCTGATTCAGTCTTCTTTCTTTGGGGCGTTTGCAGTCATGTCCCAAACAAAAAGGTACAAGTTCACAGTGGATTGGAAATATGGAAAGACAATGAAAGTTCAGGAAACAAATCAAACAGGGATAATTAATTTATTAAAGGACAGCGGCCACACACACAGTAAAAGGGAAGTGAACGCAGAGAGACTGTGAGAAATTCGGGGGCAAGAGAACCGCACCGCGTGCTGATTGTGGGGTGGGGACACGGCTCCAGGCCTGTATTCAAAGTCTTAGGAATGTATATTCAAAAGTTGACTTTCAGGCGCATTAAGATGTAAAGGGGGGAAGTAGACTATGAAATCTGGAGAAGTACAAAGGAAGAGAGGGGCTGCTGGAGGTAAGAACTTAGCAGCCGAGTTGAGACTAGACAGGGAAAGCCCGCTGCCAGAGTGGACACCGGTCTGGACGTCCCCAGGCCGGGAGGGCAGCGTGAGGCGTGCCGTCCAGGGTCCGGCCGCCATTCGTGGAGTGAGCAGAGCGGGTCGCAGGAGGGCTGGTCAGTGTGCCACCTTTTCTGTGACAAATGCAGCACACATGTACGTGTGCCTGCATGCAATACGTGTAGGGCAAGTGCTTGCATGTCGATGAGTCTGGAAGTAGCTCACCAAAGTGCTAACAGTGGTCGCCTCTGGGAATCAGGACTGGGGGGAAGACTTTTGTATCATATTCCGTTTTAGCACCAAATTGTATGTTATTATCTCTTAAAAATTTTATTGTCCCCCAAATTCCACCTAAATCATTGAGCTGAGGAGCCAAAAACTAGATAGAACCACAACAAGGTTGAGAAGCGGGCCATGGGGCTGCTTGAGGCCAGAACCAGCGGTGCACCCGGCAGCCCCATGCTGTCCCCAAGCCGGCCACAAGCTGCCCCTGCCCTTAGAGGCCGAACATTCCTGGAGGCTGGAGCTCTCAGGTGTCCCTTTGCCGGCTCTGCAGAAAGGAAAGAATGGAAGACCAGGGCCATTTGATGGGGCAGAGGGGAGACAAAATACTGGGGAGCCAAACTTTGGAAGGTGACGCCACCTAGGGGTGGCCACCCTCAATGGCGATTAAAGCACAGTCTCGACTCAGGGAGGGGCTGGAGGTCCCAAGAACTGCAGCTAGACTGGGGTGGGACTCACCGGTATCACCTCTGGGCCAGACTTCCTCACCTGCCATGCTAAGGGCTTGAAGAGAGCCATCGGCTTCCACCAGTCTTTGCAGCCTGCTGCGTTTAGGCCAGCCAGATCAGCATTCCACCCGTGTGCCCTCACCTTTGCCCTCGGCCAAACCCAAGTGTTTGTCTGTGCCTCTTAGACACAGCCCTCCACCCTGGGGCGGGCACGCCGTGAGACCAGGAAGACAGCAGGCCCCTCTCCCCGTGCACCGGGGACACTAGTGTTCACCCCGGAGCGAGCACTTCCTCTCCCCTTCACTAGGTCTTTGCCACTCCACACAGGAAAAAGAATGAGGCCTCACGCTTCCTTAAACCCGCTCCAGTTCCAGATCAGATGTACACGTACACATTCAGGGCACTTCCTGCTGCTAACGGTGTGTTTTCTCCAAAACCAAATCCAGTCAGTCCACACCTGTCGCTGGGGCCCCTCCATGGCCCTTGGGCTAGGCACCTGCCCTGCCCTCCCCCCGCCCCACAGCTCATATCTGGAGGGGGATGGGCAAGGTCTCTGTGAAACAGTGACCCATCAGAACGAGGACAGGGAACTGTTAGGGGACGGAGACAGGGAGGTGACTGAGGTCCGAGTGGTCAGGGATGGCTGGGAGGAAATAAGGGAAGTGGGAACAAGCAGCCCCCTCTCCTCCCCAACGCCTCTGTCTCCATGTCGCCCCACTGTCGGCAGGGAAGCCTGGGCTTCTGGTCCAGCATTTCTCTTCACTCAGAATCAAATTCCATCACCAGCAAGTTCTTTTCTCTGAGTTTTCTCTTTTAGAGGGGAAGGATCAGAGCTTGAGGCTGGGGGTAGGGGGGGCGGGCTGGGCGTAGCAGGAGCAGGCAGGCCCCCCGGGAGACGGCAGTCACCCTGGGGGGCGGGCGCTGATGCTAAGGGCTGTGATGAGGCAGGAGCCCAGGTAGGGAGGGGGCTGCCCCCAGCTCCGGAGCCTGGCAGGAAGGCGAGGTGATGCCAGGGTGGCAGCAGCAAGGCCAGAGTCCCTGAGGTGCAGCCCAGAGGCTAGAAGCGAAAAACTGTGGGACCCAGAGGAGCAGGTTGTCCCTGACGAGTCCTTTGCTCTCCCCGCAGTCACCGTGAGGGCCCATTTCACCGGGTGGCTGATGACACTGAAGAAGACCTTCGTCCTGGCCCCCAGCTCCGTGCTGCGGATTATCGTCCTCATCACCAGCCTCGTGGTCCTGCCCTACCTGGGGTAAGTCTCTGCAGGTTTGGGGCTGTGGGTCCTGCCACCAAAGTGCTCTGTCAAGAGGTTTACATCTTTTTTGTGTGTGAAATCCCCATGCATTTGTAGAAGTAGAAATGCAGAGTCATGTTTTATTCTCTGCCTGGGCACCAAATGGGAAGCTGTTGAGATCCGTTCTAAAAAAGTACTTTGGAGGTCAGGCTTATACGCAATATTCATTGAGCACCTACCATGCTTCCCAGTCTCCTGCAGCAGGGACGTTACTCAGTCCTTCCACCTTGGAAACCCACACTGTGCAGAGGAGGGGTGAAAGGTGCTGCTGGCTTTCTGGTGATGGGGATGTGGCCGGCCACCAGCAGATGCTGAGACCTGGAGGGGGCGAGGGAGACAGCCGAGACCCCTCCCCATGCAGGTGCACCACTTACTAGGTGCAGACCTTGAATGTGATTGTCAGATGCTTCTGTGGTCTGCACCTTTCCTGGATCTTCCTGCATTCCCACTCTGTGCATGCCTCAGTGCAGCTTTAACAAACTGACGGCCTTTGCATTCTCATCCCCAGGGTACACGGAGCCACCCTGGGTGTGGGCTCCCTCCTTGCAGGGTTTGTGGGAGAATCCACCATGGTCGCCATTGCCGCATGCTACGTCTATCGGAAACAGGTAAGAGACATGGTGACAGACACCACCTGCGTGGCTGGGAAGCCTCCTCCTCCCAGGTGCAGAAAGGCTTGGGTGGCTTCCTACGGGCCCACAGTGGTGGAGACTCCTCACACATCCCGTACCTCAGCTGGGCCCACGCTGCCCACCGTGACTTCAGGGGCCCTGCACATGAGCAACGCTCACAGTGAAGTGGCTGAGCCCTCAGCCAGGTCCGACAACAGGAGGACACTTCTTATGTGACTGTGTGGGCCACTCCTCACACCCAGCCTCACCTCAAAAGACAGTTGAGCTTCACAGGAGGGACAACTAAAAAATATAGGTCCTGCATTCCGCTGTTGCCTCTAGGGAACTGAACAGTGTAGAAATGAAATGATGGTGTTGACCATGCAAGAAAGCCCTGAAAGGGGGTTCCCTGGCAGCCAAGTGCCCCGAGTTCGTAAGTCCTTAAAAACTCAGCCTTGATCACTAAGGAATGACCGCCCTAGAAAATGTTGGGGTGACCAGGACGCTCTCTCACACTCTGTGCCCCACAGATCTCTTCCTCTCCAACCCCAGCTCCCATCCCACCACAGGGAGCCTCTCCTGAGCCCCACCGCACGCCCGCACACACGTGCACACAGTATTTACCTCAGCACACAATCAGTTTATCCTGCAGGGGTATCTCAGTACTTGGGAGTATATGTCTTTCCTTTCTAAGATAATGAATAATCAGGGAGCGGGCACCCCATCTGACATTATTCATTCAACAGAGAAGGGACGAGATTAACCAGGGAGTGAATGGAGGTGGAGAAGAGAAGGGGTCCAGGGGTATACCTCTGGGGGACACCACTGTGGGCCCCCCCAGCCATGGCAGCCAGGTGGTGACAGCTGAGATTGGCGGAGATTTGGACCTAACCAAGGTTGGTGTTTTGCCTGGCAAATATGATTAAAGAAAAGAGGGCAAGGAAGCAATTACAATTATTGAGCATTTCATTTAAGCTGGTGAAAGCGGGGGAGAGGGGACAAAAAGGTGGGTTGTGGGGACAGGGTCCTGGAGGGAGGGGCCAGACCACATGGCAGGAGGAGGAGGAGGATGGTGTCCCTGCATTGGCCTGTGGGTGGTGCTGAAGGTGTTGGTAATGACAAGCTCTCCCCCTGCGGAGTTCGTGAGCTGTGCAGGGGTGCTGGGGAACGCGATCTCCTAGGAAGAAAGGCCAAAGTGTCAAGAGTCCGGTTACTGCAAGGCAGGCACTGTGGCCGTGCAGCCACCGAAATTAGGACAGGCCATGAGCAGGGTGGGAGAGAATGGCAGCAAACCCGGTCTGGTCCGGAGGGAGGAACGGTCCAGTACCAGCAAGCCCCACGTGCATCCCAAGGAAGTGTCTGTGCTGCCGTGAGGATGAAGGTGGGGGAGCACGGCCCCCACTGGAAGGGGCAGCCGCGGGGAAGCCGTGTCCTCGGGTCGAGGCCGGTTTCCACCAGCTGACGGCATGGTGCCAGAGGGCGCTGGGGAGAGTCGCTGGGACAGGATCCCCCAAGTGCCTAGCACAGGGACGGGCACCCGGCCAGCACCCAGGTCGCCACACCGAAAGGCAGTAGCTGGACTACGGTGCGGCCTCCGCCAGGTCGCCCCAGCTGTTAACAAGATCCAAGTCCGATACCCCGGTGGCCTCCCCCTGCTCTCGGCTCTCCTGTGATGTGCCCCCGTCACAGCTCACACTTACGTGTCTTCTTTGGCCTAGAAAAAGAAGACGGAGAATGAGTCAGCCGTGGACGGGGAGGACTCGGCCATGACGGACATACCTCCAGCCGAGGAGGGGACAGACGTCGTGGAAATGAGAGAGGAGAATGAATAAGGCCCAGGACGCGGCGCTGCGGGGACAGTCGAGATGACACTCAGCCTCATCTCCTCTCCCACTGAGTTCCGTTCCCTTTTGGTTTCGGTTTCGGTTTCAGACACGCAAGAGGCCTTGATTTAAAGGTTTCCCGCACACTCTCCGGCATACTGGGTATGCTCACACGCAGGCGGGGACCTGGGCAATGGTCTTCGCCATCGCTTTGTAAAAACCAACGAAACAGTTGACTTCATGCCCCCGCTTCATGAAAACCCAAAAGACGTAGCTGCCTCTAGTCCGAGTGGACGCCCCCACCCTCGGACAGTCTCCACTCGGAACCAAAGGACCACGGCTCTGCCCTCCAACACCCCACGGCCACCGCTGCCCGGCAGGCCCCGCCCTGCCCCCTGTCCCTTTGCATCTCTCTCAAGAATCAGCAGGTTACAACTTGGCTTTCTGCGGTGGGCTTCGCAGTCACATGGCTATGCGGAGAGAGGGAAGCCAGCCAGGTGGCCTTCCTCTGTGGAGTCATCAACTGCCCACTGCACATGTGCAGAGGATCCACCGGTGCCCCCCTTCCCACGGAAGAGGGGACGTGTGGACGCACTGGGCAGGTGGATGGGAATGACCTCCTGTGGGAAAGTCTGAGATGCCACAGGAGCAGCCGGCTGACGACGTCCCACGCCCGCATCTCACCCGGCCTCCTCTGGGAGGGAGCGAGCTCCCACACCGTGCCCGCCGTGTACTTACCCAGCTAACCTGAGCGTCCTCGCAGAAGCGCTTCTCCAAATTTCAGCATCCTTCCGCATGGCTTCCCCCGAAGGCTTGTTCTTCACCCGCCCTCCTGAAGAGGGCGCTAGAGCAAGGGAAACGGAGCATTCTAACTCTGCGTGTTAGTTTTTACAGTGAACTGAAGCTTTAAGTCATAATCTCATTCTAATGCCAGGTTGCCGTATTGTAACTTTTGAAGTAGATGTATTACCTGGTTCAGCCATTCTTAGTCATAACCGTGCGGTACAGGTAATTCCAGTGTACTCCCCCTCTCACCACAGGATAAAAGAAGACATTTTATAAACAATATCAAAGTCACTATGTGATACTCCCTGAGATGACACATTTGAAATCCATTTAGTGCAGTCTATTTTTCTAAGTTTTGGAAAGCGGGTTTTTTCTTTAAAAAAAAATATGGACACAGTTCAGTAAATTCTTGATTTCGACAAAATTCCTAGACTGAAAGAACCTAGACACAAAAAATATTTTAAAGATATAAATAGATACTGTATATGTTATGTAATTTATTTTAGGCTATAATACATTTCCTATTTTCGCATTTTCAATAAAATGTCTCTAATACAACACGGTGACTGCTCGTGTGTCCACACGCCTGGAGACGGAGCGTGTCCATGAACATTGTCCAGACACAGTGTGTCCGCAGCGTCCCAGAGCCCTGCCGTTTGTACGCAGCTGTAAGGACCGGTGAATAAGAGCTGTTTTCCATCCTGGGTGGTGGGTGTGAATGGGTCAGCTGGTGGAGACACTGGTGAGGATGGAAATAGATGCTCGAAGGGCAAAAAAAAAAAAAAGACGAAGGAAAAAGGCAGGGCTTCTGTATTTACTGCTTGCAGGGCTGTGTGATCCCGTCGTTCCTCACAGGAAAGAGAATGTAAGCGTAAAGCCAGCCACGAACATTGCAGGGTTGCATTCGCATTTCTGGATACCCAGTGACCCTCGGCGGGTGTCTCCTACCGGGACAAGTCCTCCATAGACGTGGATGCTGAAAATTAGGACACGTAGCTTTGCAGGAGTTTCAGGGCAGATCTGAGACGATAGGGAAAGAATCTAGTTGTATCGACATTTTTTTAAAGTACATGGCTAAAAAATTAAACAGCAGAAATTTTTAACATGGGTGACTATTTCACACTGTGGGGTTAAAGTTTCAAGATTACATTGAAAAGGCGAATTCCCTCTAAATCAGGGAAAGATCAACCTGAGACTCCACTGGCAACTAGCACATATCATGATAACTTCAGACGCCCCTTTGGTGACAGATTCACAGACTAGGCATGTGGGTAGAATTTTGGAGACACAGGAGGCAGCCCCCAGACCCAGACCCAGACCCCGACGATGGGCTGTGATTGGCCTTGAAACACACAATCTCTCCCGCAGTCCCTTCACTCGGGCTGCTGAAGTCCCAGCCTAACAAACACACACCTGAACTTCTCAAGCAAACCTGTTCCTGGCAGGTTCTCCTGCGTGTGTTCTGACCAGCGTGCCTGGAGAAGGCCATCAAACCAGAGAAGTGCAGGCACTTCTTCCCACTTTTCAGAGTAAGGAGGGGCACTCTTCCAACTTTGCTGACCAAAGAAACGTTCTCCCAACACAGCTGTTTGGGGTTTTTTAATTGCACGGTGCTCTGCTGATAGATAATTAGAAAGGCGTGGTGCCCGTGAGGGTATCACGTCAAGGACCACGAAAAAAACAGGTGTGACTTTCTCAATGTTGAGTGATTGCTTCAGACAAATAGAATCTAAAACACAGATGGCAAACATAAGGCCCATGGGCCAAGTCCAGCCCTTCACCTTGTTTTATCCAGCGGCAGCACCAAGCTCCTTGCCCCTAGTTAAGTAGTTACGTTTATACAGCCCTAAAATTACATTCGGCCCTTTGAAGGCAACCTCAAGGCTGATGTGGCCCCCGGTGGAAATGAGTTTGACACCCCTGGTCTAAAACTATAGGGGCATAAAGGCATTCTTAATGTAAATGCCAAGCAGTGAGTTTGGGCAGTCTGAAGCAGTCCGGAGGGAGGGTTTTCTCTGCACAAGCACGGGTCCGGGCAGCTCCCTCAGGGGCCTCCCTGCTCCTCTGAGGGGCATAGGCGAGGTGGTTCTAAACACACAGCTGCATGTGCTCTGCCCCCAATTAGTGCGATCTCCGTGGCCCCGGGCGTCCGCGAGACGCCCAAGAATTGAGCAGAAAGAACCAGGCGAGGCTGCTCCAGGAAAGCTTTCATAGGGTCTGCCGGCTGCATGGCTCGGGACGTGTTGAGGGGTTTGAACGTTGGCAGGAACCCCTCACCTGTTTGGAATTCTTTAATTTGGGCCCAGAAAGCCGCTGGTTTACATCACTGCGTACACAGAAAGCCAGACGCAACCCCTCGCTGCTTACCTCAGGCTCATCCACTACCAAAGGTCCTCTTCTGGGTGCGCGCGCGCGCGCGCGTGTGTGTGTGTGTGTGTGTGTGTGTGTGTGTGTGTGTTGCGTTTCAGCACTAGCAGGCGGTTTGGCTTCGGAAATGTCCAAGGGTGAGCCACACCTTCAGAAAGGGAAGAATTTAGAGTTGGGCTAGGTGCATATCCTGGGTGAGGCCAAGTCAAGTTTCGCTAAAAGTAAATGCACTTTTTCACTCCTGGAGTCTCCCAGGAAACAGACACGGGAGGGGCAGGGGCAGAGGCCTGTGGTGAGGGAGGCTCCTCTCCACCACAGTCCCAGCCCCTCCGCTGAGCATCCTCTGGGCCCTGGGTGCTTCCCAGCCAGGGCCGGCTCTGTGCTCCTCCCAAGCAGACTTTTCTGGATCGCTCTCAGGTTTAGGATAGCTGTTCTATCCCCAAATCTCAAAATTACTCAGGGATGTTTTAGAGTAAGAAGTGAAAACAGCCAACAGCTCCCTCCCCTCCGAACCATTCTTCATTTGGGGTCTTTTCTATGGGAACAAAGGGGTGGGAGGAGAGTAACTTTTTATGTGCCCTCAGGTTCTAGAAGCACGATGATTTAAAGACACAATAGTTCTCTATTTTTTTTACTCCAAGCTGAAGTGGGAGAATGAGAATCTGTTGAAAAATAGGAAATATGTGTCCTGTGGTCATTAAATTACATGACCTTGAGAAATATTTTCTCGTATTTAAAAATCTTTCTACTCCAGTAACTCTAATGTGCCCCCAGCTGGCCTGGTTTCTGGCCTCTCAGTTCACAGGTGAGCTGACTTCTAAACTTACGATGGAGTCTCCAAAGTGATGCACAGTCCAGGAAAAGGGGTCTTTGATGACCAACGTCCTGCCCCTTTTTTGAGGGGTGTGGGTAGCCTAAATTGCAATGGGCAGGACTTTCCAAGACACGGTGACTCATTGAGACATCTGTTTTGCACGTGCAGCCGATTCCCTAAAAGCAGCTGCCCCCCACTGCCTGCCTGCTGCACAGCCCCCCACCCCACCTGTGCGGCTCTTTCATGGAAGGCATTTGAGCCACAGAAGAGCGTGTTTGAGCGACGTCTTTGGTAAACACACGCGATCCTCCTCTGTGTGGTTGAGTCTCTGTTTGTGCCATTTGCTGCAGCAGAGCAGCCTGTGACCCGTCAGCTGACCTGACCACACATCACACAGGACGCAGAGGAAGTCTGAGCACAGGCGCACCACAGCCCGGCTGCCTGCCCCGTAAAGGCTGCTCGTCTGAAATGAATGGCGCGATGTTCCAAATTGAGGAACTGTATTATGGAACCAAAGTAACCCCCTTCGAAGTTGGAAAAGGTGGGACATTATGTAGTTTGCTGTCCAATCTCAACACGGAAGATTAATGCAGAGAGGTGGTGAGATGTAGTTTTGAGTTCATTTGCTTCTGCAGAAGGGAGGCTAAAACTGTTGGCCACTGCCGTCAGTGTGCTCAGAACAGCACCGAAGGTGGGCCTCCCAAGTCATTTTTTCAATTACTTTTGCCAAGTCCAAGTAGTTCTGAAAGGACCTTTTTCTCTGCTTCATTTGTAATCCACCAGGGTCTCCCGACTGCACAAGATGCAGGCACTTTCACAGGCCGAGGTCAGCTCCACGCAAATGCAGCACGGTTCCTGAGACAGGGTACCTCTTTTCAGGTTGGGGAACTTAAAGTGAACTTTGCTAACGAAACCTGACAGCAGCTCCTGCAGCCCGTGTACAACAAAAGCGCACAAGAGCTAGGAGCCTGTTTGCTCTCCAGAAGTGTACCTGGTCTCAGGTTAAAGAAGCAGGGAGGTGGAGGCAGACCGGCCAAAAACAGTTGTACCGTTCACAGTCTGGCTTCGTGGAAATTCAGTGGCATGTTGAAACTGGTCATTTACTTTAAGATTTAGAGGTAGATGTTCCCAACCACAAGCCAGGGACAAGAAATGGTGCCTTTGGAGTTGGGAAACATTGCAGCCAGGGGGATTCTGGTTACCTGAAGCATGGGGCCGTGAACACGGGGGACTCACAGTTTCGATGAACCTGCTATTGAAGGCGAACTCCAAAACACCCTGGTCTGACAAAGGGAGTTACAGGGTACACATACACACCACTCAGCACCCGCAGCACGGACCAGTCCCCACGACGCAGGCCCGTTCCCCGGGGGGCCACAGCCACAGGCTGGTGGGGCACATACACAGCTCCTCGGGTCCACGATCTAAAGCTGGAATGACCAAGGAACTAGCTGTAGAGCTTCAGAAGTTTTGACAGAGCCACATGTGGGACTCTGGGCAAGCCAACACTCATTCATTCAAGGAACACTTCCGTGCCGGAGGCCACAGACTCACAGCAGCCCTTCCACGTCACTCACACCTCTCTGACCTCACGGTGGTCACCTGCCTGTCCAGTGAGAGACGGGCTTGGGCCACCCTTCCTCAGGCTCCTTCCTGGGCCAACATCCTGTGGATGATGCAGGGTGTAGAACCTGGTACAGGATCCCACAATGGAAAAATACAATTACCTCATTCTTCATTTCAGATCTGATCATCAGCAGTTATCCAGATTTTTTTAAAATAAAGTTAAGCCCACTGGGAGTCAGGCTGCATGTGCTTGGCTGTCCATTCACAGGCTTTTCAGTTTCACCAAAAAAAACAAACAAACAAAAAACAACCTGTGTCTTTAATTTAAACTGTTGAAACCAAACACGTTAAAATATTTGTGCAGCCTTTAACACAGACCGCAGAGGTCAATGTGAGATGTAAGGTGCATTTAAGCAAGTACTGTGTATGTAATTAACAGATGTAAGTTTCTGCATTGTTAAGAGCATTTGTATATGCTTTTCTTTTTTAAGTTTTTGGGGGATTCATGCTCACCTGTTGTTAAGTAGCTTTCATACTCTAATTTTAGTTTAAGTAAAGCTTCAACAGTTGGCATACAATTGGGATCGCTTTTCTTCATTTTCTTATTCTAACCATTAGTCTGTTTACACATCCCACATCACATGGTTGCTGACTTCAATTTCATTTTTTTTTTGGTCACCAAATAGGAGATATTAAAATTTCATCCTTTGCCTTGGTAGCTAAACTAGCCATTGGGATAGTTCTCTAAACTACCAGTCTCACTTAAATATGACTTATTTCTTCAAATTTTACTCTGCATCAGATTGACCTTTTTA